TTTTCCTATTAAAATAAAGCACATGTATGGGATTAATTTGTGTTCAGTTTAAAGGCAGAATACATTTAATGATTAGTCACGTGACACTGAATGTAAAACTGTATCATAATCCGATAATCATTAGCATATAAACATTAATTGTACTTACTTCATCAACATTGTTTATATCGATGTGTGTCTCCAGAAGTAATTTCATAATATTCAGTGCAGATGTCTTCGTATCGACATCAAAGTCAAGCGTATACCAAGGCCTTTGCAACACTTTATTGAGAGCATTTCCACCTTGCTTTAGTAATGTCAAATACATGAAATACAAAAGAAAAATCAAACAAGTCGAAAAACATAACAGCAAGAGTATATTGTAACCCTAACTGATCCTCGGTATGAAATGATTTATCATCTGTCACTGCCTTCATATAATATTCACTTCAACCTTTAAAATACATAAATTAATTCAAAAACGACAATACAAGTTATGGCTTGCAAATAATTATAAACAACTATATATATACAAGCATATACACTTATTCTGTTCAGTCATGTGTCTTTTTTAGTTCATTTATATATTGTTTTGGCTAAATGAAAAAATGTAGAATAAAAACAGATAATATAGAGACACACTTCCACAACAGAAATGTTGCATGAGAGATTACACAAGGTAAAAATTATTCTTTTTTACAAACCTATTTTTACCCATTTTTTTTACAAACGTTGCCATCTTAATATAAGCGATATATTCATAAGATATACTGGGGTGTGATTTATAATAGCTTGAAATAATAAAGCAGGCACGTGGTGAGGGCAAACTACGTTTCATTTATATACAAATGCCATTTTGTATTTTTACAATATTATCTGCAAAGGGTTTGTACTACAAGTCATAAATTTAGAAGCTGGGTTCGCAAATTACTAGTTCACTAGTTCTTTCTGTTGTTATGGATAAAGACATGTCTAGAATATGTTTATAATACTATGTTTGTAAGTTCGTAAGTTCGTAGAATTGTAGGCATATTATGATGATATATGGCGTGATAATGAATTTATAAGGATGTAGGAGAATTAAAAAGAATGCTGATTGTATTATGTGAATGAATGAGTGAGTAAGTCTGGTCTGGTCTGGTCTGGTCTGGTCTGGTCTGGTTGTCATAACTCCACCCTAAGTTACATAGATTACATATTAAGCATGGAATTATATTTTATTTCAGACCTATTTGTCAACAACATTAGCTTTTATTAAATTTGAATTTAATCCGTTTGTAGCTAATTACGTTTGATCACGGTTATCTTTCCTAGTAACCGTGGTATGATTCAGTATGCACCATATACAAAATAAAAACAATTGCAGTATTCACTAGCTATTTGAAATTTTGGCAAATAAACAAATATTGCTGAGAATTTATACAGATTTGGATTTGCTCGAATTTTCAGCGTCTAGGGTGTGATCAACTTTATTAAATCTCATGCGAAACTAAAGTATGTATTTTGGCCTACACAATTCGATTCTAAGCATGTTAGTAAATTTGATTCCTAGGCAACAAAGCTAACGTTGAACATTGACCAATGTTGAAATATCGAATAAATCTGGCTTGTAATCAAGACAAATTCAGTATGAAATAAAAACTACTCTGATAGAGGTCAAATAAAATGTACGAGTGTTGGACTAGTAGTATTAAGGTATAGATGCAGGTTCGTGGGCACTCACAATGTTTTTTTTTGCTTTTTCTTACCAAGAAAGTCTTGGCTAGATAAAATTGTTAAAATAAAAGTGTCAAAATTTCGGAGCATTGTCAATGCTGGAACATACTCAAAAATCGATTTCAAAATCCCTGTCTTCAATCCTGTTACCTACCGCGCTATCAACGAGACCCAGAAACTACAAAAAAACAGACAAGACGTAGATGCTTCCAGCATGCAAGCGGAATAAAAAAGATACATTTGTAAATGATCAGTAAACTTCTTCACCCTTATCTCGCAACATGTCCACAACTTCTAGCCTGGCAGCTTCCAGTAGTATACTGTAAAATAATTTATTTAATTTTTTTACGTATTTTTTCTCCAAAGGCATTTTAAAACTGAAGTACCTATACAACTTTCGTTTTGCTGTAACGATCACCGTGATGGTAGCATTGCGATGCAATGGATAAACACCATTGCTGTGCTGTCATCGATAACCAACTTTTCAGTGGTAAAATACACAAACGTAAAATGCTCGGTTAGTTAAAAATAAAAAAAATACCCTGAAAATTACAGAAAAATCAGCAACGAGATGCTGTTTCAAACACCGTAGAAAAAAAATCACGCTAGCATGCATCTGTAGCGATGTCGCAAAGTACGTTGTACGGCCGTGCACGGCAACCTCTGGTACTAAAGCACCCTATGAATGAGGTATTTCAGAGTCCGTAGGTCAGGGTTCGTTTAATTTTTATCGACCCGTTTCGTCTGTATGTTCCACGATTCACAATGCTGCGACATTTTAACAGTCTACAGCCAAGACTGTTTGGATAATAAAAAGCAAAAAAAATCACGAACGAACTTTACCTCACCTAGAAATAAAAGTCAATAAAAATCACTATTTGCTAAACAATCATAAAATAAATTAATTTGGTATAGGTAGTAATTATTGAGGTAATTGAGTAGATGTTGTACATGTTTGGATATACCTTAAATAAAAGTCGATAAAACACTTGTTACCTAAATCACTGTTTGCTAAACAATCATGAAATAAATTAGTTGAGTAGGTGTTTTACGAGGATGATGAAATGATAAAAGTATTTTTCTGTGTCATAAAATTATAACAGAAGTCCTGATGAAAGTTTTTTGAAGTATCAAAGCAATAGGTCAGTAATATTCAAATTTAAATTATGGTTATAAAATCTGATACAAATTTGCACATCAAATATCATAACCATGGCACAGGTTTGGTCAGAAAATATTACACTTTTGATAAGTTTCATAAGCTATTTTTCATTCTCACCTACCCGCAAAGACTCTTACGAAAACATAATTTAAAAAAGTAGTATTTTTGAAAACATTATTGACCGACAGGAGTGAATGACAAGTACCAGAAACAGCACTAACTAGTGTCCCGTTACCAACCAATTTTGGATTCAACAAAGTAAAAATACATTTTTCGCACTTTGGGTTGAGATTCGCCTCAAACGATCCATGACACCATGCCAGTTTATTCGTGATTATAGTGTCTGCTGCAATAAGTTTTGTTCGTGATATTCGAAAGCAAACAGAACAGAAGCGGTTTTTCACAATAACAGATCACAATCAAATCGAAATATGAACGATGTGAAACCTTAATAAAAGATGTACACAATAATGATTGGTTTGTTGATATAACTCACCTTATTGCGATGGTTGATTTCCGATTTTGATAGAAGTAATTTAACTGCATTATATCTATTCGCTTCACAAGCTATTAACAATGATGTATCAGCATTCTGT